GTCCAGGACTTGAACTGCAGTCAGCCATGTGTAATTCCAGCAACTTAACCACAATACTACCTCCCGACCCCTTAATTATTATTATTTTTTAAATTCTTGCTATAGAGTGTATGTGCTTAACAGAGAGAGAGGGAGAGAAGGAAAGTGAGAAATCCTTCCCCAAGGGGAATGGCCATACTACAATCCCAACTCCTTCAGTCTCCTCTCAGGATTTTTTTTTTTTTTTTTTAGAGGTTTTCGCTATACGGCACGTGCACTCGCCAGAAAGACAGAGAGAGACAGAGAGATAGAAAGCGAGAAATCACTCCCCGGGGGGATAGCCATGCTACAATCCCTTCTCCTCTATTCTCCTCTTGGGACACGCAGCATCTTGGCCATGCACACACATGCCCCCGGTGTGAGTAAGCCACCGGGTCTGGGACTCGAACTGTAGTCGACTACATGAGAGTCCAGCGACACAGCCATTACACTAACTGCTGGCCCCCTGGTGTGATTTTTAAAAGAATTATTTATTTAATTTTATTTATTCATTCATTTATTTTAATTTGACCAGAGAAAGAGAGAGAGAGAAAGGGAGAAAGCAAGCCAGAAGGTACAGGACTTGAATCGTGGTCAGCCATGTGGGAATGTCCAGCACCTTAACCACCATACCACCTGCTGGCCCAATCATCCAGCATGATTTTTAAGTCTCAGGGGCCGGGGCTCGAACTGCACAGTCAGCCACGTAGAATCTAGTGCCTTAACATCCATGCCACTACTGACTCTACTACCAGAGTTTATTAAAATAAGCATACGGACAGTGTGAAAACTGATATAGTCCACTACATCCCAGCAAAATGATTTAGGACACGTGCACCCACTCACACACACACACACGCATGCACACACAAGTCATTCTCAACACTTTCAAAACAGAACTGCTTTCCATCTAAGAGGTTGTCATTATTCCTAATCGTTGAGTACTGTGCAGTTCACTGAAGGTACACACTAGAATAAACGAAAAGTGAACATGCAAATACATTTCCCATTGCCGTGGAGACAGAGGCAGTCCACAAAGGCTGAGGCCCTTGATTAGGAGACAGCACAGTCACTACTGTCCCAAGTATGGGAATGGTTTGTCTCAGTGTCCTTCTTGGTAAAATGGAGACAACGATACTCGCCTTGAAGGGCTGTCGCAAGAACGGAATAAACTAATACAAGGGGTGAAAAGGTCTTTACATGGTGCCTGGCACACAGTACTCTATAGTGTCAGAAAAGAGATTGCTTAAAACGACCATGTATTGTGCCTGCAGATGGAGTAGCGGTTACATGGCTGGACTCCCCCATGGCCAACCATGGTTCAAGTCCTGGACCCGGTGGCTTGAAATTCACACTGGATGCATGTGTGTGTATATGCCCAAGATCCCAAGAGGAGAATGGAGAAGAAGGGATTGCAGTATGGCTATCCCTTCTGGGGAGTGATTTCTCACTTTCCTTCTTACTGTCTCTGTCTCTCTCTCTCCCCACAGTGAGTGCACGCACCCTGGGTGGGGGTGGGGGTGGGGCTGCTGGTTCACACCCAAAGACCTACTTGAGTACCGCAGGTACATGCATACCCATGATCTGGACTGGCTGAAGCTGGGGTGGTTCATAGTGTGAAGAGACTTTGTCAAATGTTCTTCTTTCTCTCAGTCCCTCTCTCTCTGATATACTAGATAAATGTTAAAAAATAATGTCAGAAAACCAAGAGAGCTGCTAAGTGACTAACAGACAAGTAGACAGCATATACACTCTGGACAAAGGCATGATTCACATCCTGGGCAGGACAGAGTGGGATGGCACAAGACTTCATCGCACTACTCAGAATGACACCCAATTTAAAATATATAAATTCTTTTTTTTTCTTTTTTTTTGGAGAGGTTTTTGCTTTAGGGTGTGTGCACTCACCAGACAGACAGAGAGAGACATAGAGACAGAAAGCGAGAAATCACCCCCCAGGGGGGATAGCCACGCCACAATCCCTCCTCCTCCATTCTCTTCTCAAGATCTTTGGCACACGTGCACACGCGCCCGGTGTGAGTTTAAGCCACCGAGTCTGGGACTCGAATCACAGTCGACTACGTGGGAGTCCAGCGACATAGCCATTATGCTAACTGCTGGTCCCTAAATTCTTTATTTTTGGAATTTCCCATTTGGTATTTTCAGACCCCAGTTGAACATGGGTAACTGAAACCACAGAGAAGGGTTGCCTACTATACATCTAATGCTGTCCAAAAATTACTCCTCAATCACACCAGGGTGAATTTCCAACAAACTTTCACTTCCACAGGGTTACGACTCTAAGAAACAAATCATGAAAAGGCGGACCCAACAATATCTGTGTCGTGAGAAATTACTTAAGCTTCTGGACTCCTCAGAAACTACTGAGAAATGCCACATGGAACAGTCATTCCTCTTCTTTAAGTATTAAAAGAATATTTTTCCCTTTGTCTTCATTCACTCACCAATTCTTGAAATTTAGAAAACATTTAGTAGAGGGGTCGATAGGTGGTATGGTGGTTGAGGGTTCTGGACTCCCACATGGCTGACTGCAGTTCAAGTCCTGGACTTGGTAGCTTGCTCTCTCACTTTCTCTCTCTCTCTCTGTTCCTCTCTGGTCAAATTAAAATAAATAAACAAATAAAGCTAAATAAAATAATTCTTTTTTAAAAAAAGAAAGAAAACATTTAGTAGATTAAAAATATGGGGCCAGCAAATGGCGTTGAGGTTATGTCACTGGACTCCCACATGGTCAACCATGGTTCAAGTCCCAGACCCAGTGGCTTGAAAATCACACCAAGCATGTGCACACCTAAGATTCTGGGAGGAGAATGAAGGAGCAGGGATTGCGGCATGGCCATCCTCTCTAGGGGGGTATGGTTTATTTCTCACTTTTCTCCTCACTATCTCTGTCTCTCTCTCCAGCAAGCACACATGCCTTAAGGCAAAAACCTCTCAAAAAGAAGAAAGAAAGAAAGAAAAGAAAAGAAAAAGAAAGAGAAAAATAAGGTAAGCAATTTCTTTCCTATACCTAAGGAAACTGAAAAAAGTCAGAACTGAATTAGCTACTAAAGTTAATTCCAAGATTTTCAGGTTGATTGGCCAAAACTATCTATATTTGTATAATTTCACACTTATAATGCAGTACTTAAAATGTAAAAATACACTTACATTGTTTACAAAGTTATTATTGAAGAAAAATACTATGGTCACTTGTTTTGGTTTTGTTTAATAAAACAACAGAAATATCTGTCATTTCTAATAGCAATTCTGTTGTCCTGCTCTCTGGGTGGTAAAAAACACACTCCACCTGCCCTTCATTAACCCACAGATCTGGAGGTGACTCACGCCCCACTGACGACTCCATTTCCCTGAGCTCAGGTCAAATACAACAATTAAATCATCATCTGGTTTTCCAAGCCGCTAAAATATTATGTGGGAAAAAAAGAACAAATCATTTCTTAAACAAAAAGCATTAATTCCCACATGAAAAATTCATTTTTCTCTGAGTTGTCACAAGTATGAAAGGGCTTCGAAATATGCCTCAAAAAACAGAATTGAAGTCTGAACTCATTTGGGGGCAAACAAGCGTTTGAAAACCATGCATAATCTTTTCACAATATGAGTTTCGATGAACTTTTTGAAGTCCTCTCTTAAGTATTAAGATGATAGCAAACCACAAAATGTCGTTCTTGTATAAAATGAATACAATATTCCTAATATTCAAATCTGATTTTAAACAAAGCCATTCACACTGTGTTGCATATTTGTTCGCATCTCTGCCACCATGCAAAAATCTCACTTGGTTCTAGTGTCACCGACTGCTGGCTAGAGACGGGGAAGTCTAAATCTTACTGACTGGAGATCAAGATTGGACAGTCCTGTGTCCCCCTCAAAAGTTTTCCAGGATTCAATAGCAGCCTTTTCCTCTGTGTATCAGAGAGTAGGGCTGTCTCCTGAGTTTTCCGTGTGTCCTGCTTTGCATCAGCCCTACAGGAATTAGCCCACCCATTTGCAACTCCCCAGCAGCCTGCGTGGGGAAGATCCAGCTGAATCCAGCTGCCACTTCCACCCCTGGTACCTGGAGGCTCCTCCATCACCTTCTGGAATGAGGTTTGCTAGACTACAAGTTTCAGTCTGTCCTTTAGTTTTGCCAAAGACAGATCTGCCTGCTGACTGCTCTTTGCCTTGGACAACTGTGCTCTAAGACAAACAACTTATTCTTAGTGGAAAACAATCCATGTCAGCTATCACATGTGCTCCCCAACGCAAAGGCTTGCCTGATGACAATCAAATGAGTGTGGAATTTGCACTCACTGAATTGCCTCCTCTGTTTTGTTTTTTAAGGTTGTGAAATATTGACAAGCAAAAAGAGGCTTACTTAGTTCCGCTCATCTGTAAGGACCATTTTCTCCTGACAACCTCTTAGAAAATCTCCAAATTTAACTTGAAAACAAACCAGTCACACTTTGGGGCAAATTCTGAAGGTTTTGGTTTAGAAATCTACAACACTGGAGGAGGTCAGTTTTATGGGGACATTTGGACAAAACCTGCTTGTTTCAGAACACTAGCTCGCCAAACCTCTCAGCTAATCCTACACTTAAAAGCTTTTTAGCAGTATACATTTTGGAATCTTCCGTGTGTCCCAGAACACACAATATGGATCTAATTAGGTTCAGCTGCCTTATGTTAGTAATAAAATGGCAAAGAGAGAAAGAGAAGTGGGGGCGGGGGCTTGGTTCATCCCCTCTCATCCCCTGGTGATCACAAACTCCCAAGTCGTGCGCATCATCAGTGCTCACTCGGAGCAGCACACGCTTCTTAATTTGGTACCCCGCTCAGGGCTCAAACTTTTCAGCGGCTGAGTTCTCATAGATCTGGAAGAGATTTTATAGGAGGGCTGGAGCCCAGCGCTCCAACCCCACCCCGCCCCCACCGCGCGGGCCGGCGCACCCAGCCCGCGGCTCGGCTCCAGTACTCACACCAGCGCGGACGGGCAGGGCTTCTGGTTCCAGGCACAGTTGTACTGAGCCTGAACAAAACTCTCGCTTCCCTCCAGCACAGAGCAGCTCACGTTCTTGTTCACGATGTAGGCGCACCAGTTCCTGGGGTGAAGGAAAGCGGGCACAGTGTAAACCCGGAGAACAATGAGGCCGGGATGCGCCGACACAGATGCGGACTACGAGGGTCGGGGGCCCGTCGCCCCCTGCGCAGGCGAGAGCTTGGCAAAGCAGGCCCTGGAGGGTGCGCTGGTGCGCTTTGGAGAGTGGGCACCTCTAATCGAGCAAGAATGGGGTTGGGGTGAAGCACCCACGGTCCCAGGGGCCCCGACAACTCCTGGGCATAGTTTCCGGATTGCTCTGCGGGAGACTCCCTGCGCCCCACGCCCCCAGAGTCAGCCCTGCACGAAGCGCCGGCCACCGAGCGCACGGCCACCCGGAGGAAGAGTCGCCTAGGGACCCCAGCTGCCGCTCATCACCTTTGGCAGGACAGCTCCGGGCCCAGCTGCGGGTCGGGGAGGGGCTGGGAGCTAGGGTGCTTAGGTTTGAGGCGAGCAGAGGGGACGCGCACTTACTTGTTCCTGGCGCTGGGCCGCGCGGGGTACCCGGACTGCGGACCCGCGTGGGACAGCCC